AGTGATAAAGTAGACTTCATAAAAATTAATAACTCCTGCCCTTCTGAAGACACTTAAGAGAACAAAAAGAGTAACCACAGGCTGGAGAAAAGTTGCAAAACACATATCTGAAAAGTTTCTTGTGTCTAGAATACATAAAGAGCTCTAATCCAATAGTAAGAAACAAAACAACTTAAACATGGACAGAAGATTTCAATAGATATTTCACCAGATAAGACATAAAGATGGCAAATAAGCACATGAAAAGGTGCTCAATACTATTAGCTATTAAGGTAATGCAAATTAAAACCACACTGAGATACTACTACATTAGAGAGACTAAGACTTGAAAGTCTGACCCTACCAAGTTTGGAGAGAATATGGATCAACTAAAACTCTCACACACTGCTGGTGGAAATGTAAAATGATACTATCACTTTGGAAAACGGTTTCACAGTTTTTAAGAAAGTTAAATTACCATATGATTCAATCACTTCACTCTTAGGTACTCACCCAGGAGAAAAGAAAGCATATGTCCACACAAAGACTTGTATGTGAATGTTTATAGCAGCTTTATTTGTCAGAGTCAAACACTGGAAATAACCTAAATGTTAGTCAACAGGTAAATGGATAAACAAACAAACTGATGCATTCAATATAGTGGGGTACTATTCAATAAAACTTAATTATTGAAAGACTACAACATGGATGAATCTCAAAATAATTTTGCTAAGTAAAGAAGTCAGTAAAGGGGGTACATACTGTATGATATACTAATATATATACACCTGTGCTTTAAGTCAATGTTTCAAGTGATTTAAAGGAATCTTCCTATTTATTCTTATTATAAGATCAATATAGAAATGCATCAATATATCACATACTCCATTTATACAAAGCTCAAGGAAATGCAAGATTATAGACAGTGGCATAAGGCAGATCCTTGAGAATGGTATATATGCAGGTGAGAGAGATTAGAGAGGAGTATGAGAGACTCCTGGGGGTGATGGATACTTCATTCCCTTAACTGGTTTGTATGCATATGTCAAATTCAACTTGGACACTTCAAATTTGCAAGTTTGCTTCAGTAAAAGAGATGAAAGAAGGAAAGAAAGAAAGAAAGAAAGAAAGAAAGAAAGAAAGAAAGAAAGAAAGAAAGAAAAGAAAGAAGGAAAGGAGGAAAGAAAGGAGGAAAGAAAGAAAGAAAGAAAGAAAGAAAGAAAGAAAGAAAGAAAGAAAGAAAGAAAGAAAGAAAGAAAAACAATAAGAAAAGGAAGCAAGCAAAAGAAGAGAAAAGGTAAAAGAGAGGAAGAGAAATAAAGAGCAGAGGAAAGAAAGAAATCCAAAACAAAAAGTTCTGAGACATCATTTCTCAGCTATTGAAGTGGGGAAAAAAATAAATGCATATATAATCCATTTTATAGAACAGCCACAAATCTCTATATTTAAACATACATAGAGATGCAATTCTATATTGATCTCATTCTCAGAATAAGTAGGAAAATTTCCTTTAAATCACTTGAATTGTTCCTTTAAAGCACAAGTGATATATTAACAGATTATTTGAAAGTTTATTCCTCAATGGGAAGGATTTTCTGAAAGCCATTTTAGAATATTAAAATTTAGAAATATCAGAACGAGACCAAATACATGATTTTTATGAACATAATACTATATCATAGCAAATACTAAAAGAAAAAGAGAATATATACATTGGGCACAATTTAAGGCATTGCTTGCCTTCCCCAGTTTATGCAAAATATTTCAGCTTCTTTAAGTTAGTTTTGGAAAGCTGACTTTCTGTGTACTGTGCTATGAATTTGACCTCACAAATTAAAAATAAGAAAGTGCTTTCATACTTTCAGCACCTAGAATAATAATTCTTTAATGAAGTCATCATTAAATTACAACTTGAAAGACCAATGCTTTCTGAAGTTTTCTAATAAGCTTAGTTTTGTACCATGAGTGAAATACTTTGTACATACTGTAGCATTAATGAATTCATACCCACACCCTCACTTGTGGATGTGCCCCTCCACATAACTAGTGACATCATATGTTTTACATAATTCATTTCTATGTGTCACAGTGGGTCAGGAATAGTTCAGAGGAAGAAATCCTGAGCCAGGTGTCCGGTTCAGGTCAAGCCTCCTTTCAATAGAATTTTTGTTTCCTAAACAGTTTCAAATGAGGTGATTTATATGCACTAGCTGTTCTCTGTCAGAAGATATTAAAATGCAGCAAAGGCAACAGTTTAAATAACATTCTAATCCTCCAACAGGCCCAAAAGAATAAGGTGCAGATAAAAACAGGGACAGCCTGGCACCTGAGATGTGGATCTAAGAAAACTAACACTGCATTATTTCATAATGTTCCTGCTATATAGTGAACATAGATTTCATTTGGTCATTCAACATCTGAAAAGTTTCTCAACCTCCCTGAATCTCAATTTCTTAATTTCTAAAGTGTTAATAATAAGAAAAGAATCAATATGATAGTGATAATTCTTAAAACCATGGCCATCTGCTGCATAGGAATCGGCATCTGTCCATCACCTAACAGCCTGGGGCTCGTCCATTTGTTCTAATTCAAACAAGAATGATTGAGTGCTGTTTTGTTAGCAGAGACTCTATCCTGGGGACACAGAGATGAATAAAGAAATGCCAGTTGTTACCCTAAGAAGGCAGTTTACCAGACGAGTTCAAAAATTAAAGGAACATTCAGAGAATAGTGTAGTAAAGGCAGAAAGGGAACCACCATCTTCAGATAGGTTTGAGAGCATATTTCATTATGCTTGGGTGGTGGAGATATCTTTACAGAATTAAACAGGTTTCATCCTTCAATTTCAATCTCTTCTGTTAGAGCAAACTGCGGCTATTTTAAAAGACGCATCTGATGGGGTTCCTCGGTGGCTCAGTCGTGAGGCATCCGACTTTGGCTCGGGTCATGACCTCACAATTTGTGAGTTGGAGCCCTACATCAGACTCTGTGCTAGTAACTCAGAGCCTGGAGCCTGCCTCGGATTCTGTGTCTCCTTCTCTCTCTGCCTGTCCCCCAATTGTGCTCTGTCTCACTCTCTCTTTCTCAAAAATAAATAAACATTAAAAAAATGTTAAAGAGGCAACTGAGAGCCACCTGCAGTTTGGTTCCTCATGATACATAGCAGAATCAGTTCTGCTGAGTGACCGTTCCAAGAGTTGCAAGATTTGAAAGGCATTGTCTGATGAAGAGACAGCACTAATTACAGATACATTATGGCCTTGAGCTCTCTAATTCTAACCTCCTCCAGCTAAATGTATTCTTTTAGAAATGTAAAAACACAGTAGAACACAGAAGAACCAGCTACTTCCAGCCCCCAGGATCCCAACTGTATTAAATGCAAATTGAAAGAAGTAGATTCTGAACTCCAGGAAGCTAATTGGGAGCCCAGAGCAGAAATCCTAAATGTGGTAATTGGCACCTTGTCCTTTCCAGTGTCATATGCAGCCAACTAGAGGGTTACCTCTGGGGTGCTAATTGATTAGCATTGTTAGAGAAAAAGACAATAAACAGAGATTGGTGAACTGAAGTCTTTCAAAAATTTTCAAAACTGCATTTTAACTGCTAACCCAAGGGTTCCAAGCAGAGAAAATAATGTTTTATGTGATACTAGTGAGGGATATTTTCTCTATGGGCAACAGAATTACAAATAGTTCTAACATATACATTTAAAAACCTTCATTATTAGGCTTTTTTTTTTTTTTGCTAGCTAAAAACAAGCAATATAAGATTAAATAATCACTATAGTCAGAAAGAAGATTTTTAATAAAGTTTATATTCTACCAATCTAAGTTGGTCTCTCTTGACTTTTATTTCTTTAATAGAACCCCTTCTCCTGAAAATAATTATGGATTTGAGAGACAACTCCAGTCTATCTGGGGCCAGGTTAAATGAACATAACTTAGAATAGAGATGTTAATGCTTTGAAAAGAATAACTGCAGGAGTGAGGTTCTGGGCATACACTTCACTAGATTATTTGTTCTTAGCTGGCGATGCTGATATGGGATGGGAGTGGTAGAGGCTGAATCCAGAAAGAAACAGAGAAATGAAAGAGTGAAGTCCCTTGCCCTCACAGGGAGCCAATTTTAACACTATCGACTCCAAATAACTATACTCCCATTTACTTGTTGGTACTTTACCAACATTTTTCATAGCCCAAACATCTTATTTGAGGTAGACTGTTAAAACTCATCATCCTCATTGCATGGATGAAAAATAAGACCCTGGTCATTATCACTTGGTTATTATCTCGGTTTGGGGATTGTTCTAGAAATGTCTATGATGGAGTCTAGACGATCCTTACTGAAATTGAATCAAGGGTATACAGCTTATTTTTTCTTTAGGGGAAATCCTCTAATTCACATAAAAGTGGAGAACTAGTGTAATGAATTCCCAGGTCTCCATCACCCAACCTCAATACTTCTCAACAACCCACACTCCCACTACCTGGGGCATGAGTAAGTACTAACTGAGGCTCTGGTAAAAAGGACCTAAGTATCCCAGGGCATGACAGAGCCCAGAGAAGAGAAGAGACCTCAAGGGTCAGAACTAGGTATGTCCTTTGCTGACTTGAAAGAGTGTGAACTAGAAATATCTGGAATAGACTGTGATTTAACCCTTAGCCTAAATAAACCAAATAATGTGATTTACCCGATCTGTACCTTGTTTGAATACCAGAATTTCCTCCTATATAAGCAAACACTTATTTTTGTAGTAACCAGGATGTCCACGATATTGTGTGGCTACACCATAGCTCACCTAATTTTCTTACTGCCCAGTAATATCACTTAGCTGGCACTCTGCCAACTTTGCCTCGTTATACTAGAAAAAGAACATTCCATGATTTATTTTTAAGATCTTTACTAATGAAATGTGAAAACAAAACTACATCAGGAGAATCTCAACATTCATTAAAGAAGTTAAAGTTTTATTAATTGTAATGCTTTATGAAAAAAGAATGTCTGCAAACTTCATTTCTTACCGGCATCTTGTTTCTCTGTTGTATATTTGACTCTGAACTTGCAGATGTGATGCTGAAATAAAATAAGAGTTTAGAATTCCAAAATTTAATTCAGATATGCACACGCTTATATACACACATACACACCCCCACGTTAAATAGATCATTACACTGTGACATTGAAGATAATTGTTCGAAAGTATTTCCTCCAAATGTCAATTTCTGAACATTTCTAAAGGAAATCAAAACTATGGAATGTAAACTTCACTCAAAGAAGATAAAATGGCCTTTAAAGGTTCTCTTGAGAATAAGCAGTCTGAACAGTACAGTCTGTTCTGAAAACCTGCAAAATCTCTTATTTCAACTAAAAAAAGAAAAAGAAAAAGTGGAAGAAAGCATATCATCCTGTGCAAACAGCAGACTTGGGGAATTCTTTGTCTCCTACACTGTTCCTCAATCAGTCTCTCTTTCTGGGATCATATCCAGTAGTTTACAAACATGCTGTTATTTACTGCGTCTTGAGCTCTCTTAACCCTTTTCTTTCTGCTTGATTACTCTGACCCCCTTTATAACGAAGCCATATCTTCACTATCTCTAATTCCTTCCCTCCTTGCTTTTTGTTAAAGCAGCTCCATTCAGATCCTGACAAGTACCACCCTATAAACTGCACTTAATTCATCAGTGATCTCCACATTGCTGTTATCGCTATGATCATTTGTCACATCTCACATGACATGACAGCTTTTGACATGATTCATCACTTCCTCCTTGACACGCTCTCTTTACTTGGCTTCCAGAGCTTCCTAAGGTCCCAGATTTTCTTCCTGTTCCACTTACTGCTCCTTCTCAGTATGCTTTGTTGGTTCTCTCTCTCTCTCTGAGTTCTCACTTTTGGCAGGTTCCCAGGCTTCCTCTCTCCTCTACCCATATCCACTCTGTTGATGATGTCATCCAAACTCACAGCTTTAAGTTCATCAATATGCCGATCACTGCCAAGGACACATTTCCAGACTTCTCTCTAGAATTCCAGATTCATTCGTGCAATTGCCTTCTTGACCTCTCCACCAGGATGTCTAATAGATATCTCAATTTCAACATTTTCAAACCTAACTCTTAATTCCTACCCCCAACCCTCTGCTCACAGTCTTCCCCGTCTCAGGTAATGATGATGACATCCTTCCACTTGCTAAGGCTGACACCTTGACTTCTCTTTCTGTGTCAGAACTCATAAGCAATTTTAACAGGAAACTCTTGGCTCTACAATCAAACTACTTTCAGTGTCTGACCAACTCTTACCATCTTCACTGTTAACACCCTGGTTTAAGCCTCAAGCTACTATCTGCTCTTGCCTGGATTTTTCCATTAAACTCCAGAATGGGACACTCTACATTCTATTTTCAGTACACCTACCATAATGAATATCACTTCACTCCTCTGCTCAAAACCCTCCAGTAACGGATTTCATTTCACTCCAAATAAAAGCCAAAACGCGTGTAATGGTGCATGAGGTCCTACAAATGTCTCACCAGTTCACCTTTCCCATGTACTGTAGGACTCCTTCCTACTCCCCACTTCCCCCTCCCATACAACTCCACCTTTGCCTCTTTGAATTCATCTCATGCTCTCCTCAGTCAGTCACATTGGCTTCCTCGCATAGGTTCCCATTTCAAGTCTTTCTGCCAGGAACATGTACTCCACACTTGCCTGCTTGGCTCTTTTCCACTCCCTTCTTGTCTTTGTTCAAATAACCTTTTTCAGTGAGGCCTACCGTATGCACCTCCTTTAAAATTGACCTCCCCACCCTCTATCCATCCTCATCACCGTGTTTAATTTTTCTTTGCTGTACTTACCACCTTCTAGCATCCTATGGAATTTGTTTATTATATTTACTGTACCTCCTCCCAGTTGAAAGTACAACATTCTTGAAGATAAGGAGTTACTTCTATTTTGTTATCCTTAGCATCTTGAAGAAGACTAGGTTGGTCTGTAAATATTTATTAATGAATGAATGAATCCAGGGATGATTTTGTAAACCTCTAATCTTTGTAACTCTTGTTCTACTGGTGCCAACCAATAAGCCTTATTTTAAAATCCTAGGGTGCTCTTATTGTTTTCTGTCCTACTATCTCCCTCACAAATATATTCTTTTATTTCCATGTTATTGTGCATGTCTCTCACTTTTCAAAACAATATGCAACCAATTAAAATGTTCGCCAGGTAATCAGTGACAATTGAACGAAGTTAATTAGATTCCCACTCAGTAGAAGGACACACTGGGGTTCTGAGAGATGTAATTGCTCTTCTCACATCATACCAAATCAGCAAAAACCAGTATTTTGGTGCTTTCTACTTGACAGCACCTCTTTATCATGTAATGGAAAACAAACCTTTGCCATCATATTGCTGGGCAAAACCACAAATGGTTTTGAAGGATCTTAATAAGCTGCCCCCTCTTACCATCTAACTAATTTTATCATCTATCAGTGGATCTTACAAAAATGACATTTTCATCAAACTGTACTACCCAGTAGTCCCAGAATATGTGTTAATCCTTTCATTGGTGGTTTCCTCTGACAAAAATGCTCTTGCTCTATTCTCTGTTTGTTAAAAGCTTACCTATTCTTCATACCATGACTCAAATTCTGCCTCTTCCTGAAGCTTCTTTGATCCTACCAGCCCAGACTGTTTCTTGCCTCTGTGTCCACAAGTAGTGTTTGGACATCTGTCTTTTATAGCCCTGATTACATTTCATCATGTAAATAATTATTTGTCTGCCTATGTTTTTGTACTTCTCAGGGACACCTCCTAGAGAACAAGGAATATCCTTATTTATTTTTTATTCACCCAACGATACACCAAGCAAGAAATTAATAGGTGGTCACTGAATGAATCCAAACAAATAATTTAAAAAAACACAAAACATTGTGGGTACAGTACCCTTAAATGCATATTCGGATGTACAACAAATGTTCAACTGAAACCACCTTCTTTTAATAATGCCTGAAGCAAAACTACCCATTTAAAAGTGAAGGAGCTTTGGCTGCCTGACAATAATATTTAAAGGTCATGAGTCATGGCCTCAGAGTAACCATAGCTACTCAGCATACACAGTACAAGATATGTTTGTAACATAATTCAGAAAAAAAAGCTTTAGAAAGCCTATTATCCTTGAGAGAAAACAAATTAGAATTAACAATTGTATTTATGAAGCTTGTTTTTATTGCACTCGTTTTGTTTTTACTTCAGGGTTCATGGAAAAATAGAAAATTCTTTAAATTTCTATCAGCAGGGAGTATTAATATGACATCTCAGCTTTCAGTAATTTTTTTTCTTAGTAATTGATAAGAACTGCAGTATTCCCTTCCTTTAAGTGAAATATCTATCTGTTCTCCAAACTTTGTGCCCTGTTTTTGTTTGTTTGTTGTTTTTTTATGTTGGAGTAGTAATCAGTTACCACTTAGTCCATGTGATTAACAGATGTTCATAAAACTGGTTTGAAAATACAGCTATTGAGCAGCTGATTCTTCTTGGGAAAATGCCTTTTTTAGTCCCTAGGTTAATTGCATCCAAGGCCTAACCCTCTTTTCTCAGACCAGCATAGGAGCAAATTCCTATTTGATTTCTATGAACTATAGACAGGATTTGCCCCAAGGGCATGAGAAGAAGAGGGGAGAGAGAAGTAGAGCAGATGACCAGGCACATCTGACCAGTTTGCTCCTGCTTAGAAGTGAAGAAGCTGAAATGAACCCATCTGAGGGTTAACCAAGGTAGCATGTCCTCTGCTGTATCCCACATCAAAGCCCTGCTCTCTACTTGCACAGAACACTCAGTTCCATATACTAGGAGAACAAAAACACCAATGATAATTTGCACTGAGAGCAAAGTCCTGCTTTTCACTGGGCTTCCCTGCTCGTTGTACACTGGGCTATTCATTTCAAAGTTGTTAATCACAGGGGCACTTTCTCTTCAGTCAGTAACATTACATTCACCTCTCTGATTGTCAGCACATTGACATATTATCTCTTCAGGTGCTGTGTTCAGGAAAATTAAAAGAACATGGGTGTTTGCTAACTCTCATCTTCTTTAACAGGCAAAAGACTCCATCCCTCCAGAAGATTGTCTTTTGAAGGTCACAGACCTTTCTGCACACAGAAACAACATTTCAAATAAAGTTTTGGGGGAATTGTGAATTTCCCACAGCATCTGTGGACCATAGGCCCAAGATTAAAAGCAAATAAAAACAAGACCCATCCATTTCATGTAACAAAAATACATTTTAAAGCCTAACTAAGCAGAACTGAAATTACATGTGTACATAATACAACACAGCATTCTCCACAATCCACCTCTTTCTACAGAGGAGGCATGGTCCTCTCCTATGCCAGGAGTAAAAGAAAATGCTAATTGGCAGGTATTTCTATATTTGAAGGGAAAATGAGTATTGCGCCAACGTGCAGATTTTCCAGTAACTAACTGTAGATCAGTTATAAAGGTGAATTTTACTTCCATATGTGTAGCCACAGTAGGTTTGCGTTTTTATTTGAGGAGAGTTGGAATGACCTAGCTTCTTTTGTGGATATCTCCTGGCAAGGGAGCAGCGAAGGTGACATTTCATTACAGTGGTTCTAATAAAGGGTTGGCTCAGCCTTCCCTTCTCATGCCAATAAAATAGTTGGAGTGAGTATGTGATTTTGAGAAGAGGAAGTAAGGGACATTTTATTCATTCAACAAATATTTATTGAACACTATTGCATGTCAGACCCTGCCCTATGAAAGCATCATTCAAAGAAAAGGGTCATTTCCCAGGAACAGGTGAAAAGACTTTTTAATATTTTTGCCCCAGGCTTTAAAGAAAGGTATCTCTGAAGCACTGAGTAAAGTCCACTTTACCAAGAAATTTCCAAGAATTCTTTTGGGACAGAAGGAGCTGGGAACTCACCTGCTTCTCCGTGGGGTTTCAGACCCTGGGACCACAGATTTCTTGCTATAACATTCTCCCATCTCAAGTCAAGCCCACTGGGATACCCTGTCCATAGGAAGGACATTAACTATCCCCACGCCTTAGTTTTAGAATCCTTGTTACTGCTCTACTGTTTCCTGTTGCTAGGCAACCACAATGGCTGTGGGAAGAACAGTTAACTTCCCAAAGAAAAAATCTCAATTACAAAGCCACAGTAACCCCTCACAACATCTCACAAATCAGATCCAGGCATGAGTATTAATGAGGAATCACCACATAGTCATCATTTCTGGAAAGCGCACTCAAAGTACGCCAGAAGCAGTGGTTGTGTGCTCAAGCCATGGCCTGTTTTGCATCTAAAACCAGTGCTAACAGTCACACTGCTTGTCTAAGAGGGGTGCATATGAAGAAATTGATTGGTTTACAGGCTAACAGTAGTTTTTGCACAGACTATCCCCAGCTTGTGATGATATTCTTTACCTGGGACCCATAGACCCCAGACAGAAGATCCTACCTGGCCACATTCCAAGGCTTCTTTCCTGATGCAGGATTGCAGAGGTGGTAATTTGTGCCTGATTAGCTGGCATTCCACTCACTGTCACAGCTCATCTGCATCACTGCTCCTTCTTTCCTTTGCTTGTCTAAAAGCATGAGCCACTTCCTCCCAGACAGTTGCTACATCTCTCCCTGGGTGGATTTGTGGACCCTGATTAGCCTGTATTCACTCCACTTCCTGCTCTCGCAGGAAGTACATATAGGACTTCTGCAGTCTACTAATCAGAATCACTCCTGGGTTTGGATCCCTTATGTCCTAGGCTCACCCAAGCCCCATAACACAGCCCATCCCAAAATAACTTAGATTGGTAAGACTGCAGTTTTTCCAATCACAGAATTTGTTTCTAGGTATAGAGCAAATTAGATCAAATAACTACAATAGTAGTGGAAATAACTGAACTTATTAGTTAAAAAGTGTAACTATGAACAAAGTTACCAACTATGGAGCAGTTGGTGCTCTGGGTGGAAAAATCAACACTAACTAGGTAGATGTGGAAATATGAAGATTGGGTATTGACTTTGCATCCAGTTAATAGCCTCTGTGGAATATACTTTAAGCATACCTTTCTCTCTTTCTCTCTATACCTTAGGATTTTTTAATGTTTTCATTTGCTTTTAAATTTTTGTTTATTTTTTTAAATTTACATCAAAGTTAGGTAGCATATAGTGCAACAATGATTTCAGAAATAGATTCCTTAATGCCCCTTATGCATTTAGCCCATCCCTCCTCCCACATCCCCTCCAGTAACCCTCTGTTCTCCGTATTTAAGAGTCTCTTATGTTTTTGTCCCCCTCCCCGTTTTTATATTATTTTTATTTCCCTTCCCTTATGTTCATCTGTTTTGTATCTTAAACTTCTCATACGAGTGAAGTCATATGATATTTGTCTTTCTCTGACTGACTACTTTCGCTTAGCATAATACTCTCTAGTTCAAATACACGTAGTGGGAAATGGCAAGATTTCATTCTTTTTTATTGCTGAGTAATACTCCATCATATATATATATATATATATATATATATATATATATATACTACATCTTCTTTATCCATTCATCCATCGATGGACATTTGGGCTCCTTCCATACTTTGGCTGTTGTTGATAGTGCTGCTATAAACACTGGGGTTCATGTGTCCCTTCAAAATAGCATTCCTATATCTGTTGGATAAATCCTTAGGATTTTTATTTATAAAAGACTTACTCAAGTTGTTTCTGTCATCCCTTCCAACTCTAACATCCTGTTATGTTTCCTTAGCTTATCTTATTAAAAAACCCACAAGGTGCATTATACTTTAGTGCATTTTAGAGGAATGTGCAGATGTTCAATATTGGTTCATACCAAGTTATGAAAAAAAGGTCATCTCAATAATGGCTGGTGAAAGGCAATGTAAGCACTAATTATTTATAATGTTATTAATCTTATCTTACATCTCACTGATCAAAAAGAGAGGTAGGGAGATATGGCTGGTACAAAAACAGACTTTCAAAAAGTCCTTGAAAAACAAAGTGACTTTTCCACTGTTAATCCTCTTTAAATGAATATTATCAGAGAAGGATTTCAAAGGACATGGTGAAGAAATTAGCAGGTTTATTGAAGACATCTCGGTCTGCACAATTATTGACTGACCAGGCAAAATAAAAAACAAACAAATAAAAAAGATACCGGTTTTTATGATTAAGTTGAAGAAAAGTCCCTATGCATGAAAGTCATTGAAATGGTCTAATTTTAAAAGCTGGTCTGAACTACAATTTGCCCTGTAGTTTCAAGGAAAAAAAAATGAGTGTTTTAACAAAACTTCTAGAAATATATATAAAGCATTGGTACTTCCACCATCAATAATATTTTAAACTAAAAAAACTAAGCTCATCAGGGCTCCTCTAGACTAGTACATACATTTTGAAAAGTCACTTTGTGATCTGTCAAAAATGCATCTTAGAATCAGAAATCATACATATGCATACAACAAGGAAGAATCTTAATGATAATACACACTTTATGTGCTCTTGTGCTAACGTTTATGAGGAAGTCTTCTACAACTTCGATGATTAAGTATCAGATCAGAAAGGAGGGAGGAAGAGGAAATATAGAAATGAGGGAAGAGCATGAACAGATAGTAGTGATACAGAAGTAGTGCAGCTGAAGAGAGCAAAGAGAGCCACCACAGAGATCTTTACAGTCCTTGATGTGGATATAGCCCTTTGGCCTTCATCTGTCCACTCACTTTTCATTGTTTATTCACTTATTCACCAAATATTTTTTTGAAAACCCATTGTCTACTAACAATGGTGCTAGGCATGAATAAAACTGATACTGTCCATGTTCTCATGGAGCTAATCATTTTGTCAAGGTTATCATTCTAGTTCTATTGGGAAAAGAGTAAGTAAGTGAAGCAGGTCTTAGATTTCCAAAGGGTTCTTCTAACTTTACAGATCACAGCCATCAAAATGAATAAATAAGTGAAAGCAAACAGAAATACCTCATAGTTATTCCTCCCACAGTGATACAATCCTGTGGAGATAAATGACTGCTTTCACAGAGTTGACCTAGGGAAGTTCACTAAGTCACCAACATTCAAAGTTACTGTGCCCCTGTCTGAGAGTTTGGGTGTGTCTGTGTTAGGAGAGGACAAGTGGAGAGGGAGAAGGAGAGACAGAAACCAAAGGAACATCACACAAACAAGTACACATCAGTCCATGAACCACAACAACCAAAATATCTTTCTACTGATTGCAAAGGCTTTCCTTCTGTTTCTCTCAAGAATTAGCCAGCTCTCTTGTTGCTGTTTTTTGTGACCTCTTCACTGTTTGCTGATTGCTTGACACAGTGGGTCTAATTATCTCTAGGCTCCCAACCTGTTTTAATGGAGGGGGAAGTTCATCTGTGTGAGCAGAAAGACTTGCCTACCACTTGGTCCTAAAGTCTTTCCTCAGGAAACACAGGAATAAAATTGAAGGCTGTTAAACCATGAGTAGGAATGTAAACTTTCCATTTATGACTTTTTTAATGGCAGGAAATAAACATTCCTTTTTCCTCCTTACAGTTATGTACTGCAGTGAGCATTTGTCATTTGGGGATCCCAAATAGTCTCAGACTTCCCTGTGGAATTGCCTTTCCCTTCTCAGATTCAGTTGTGAAAAGACAGTGAATTCAGGTAGTCAGCCCCCAACATATAACCCAAGACAGGGCAGACCCTGTCTGGACAAAGGGTCTGAAATTGGCTCTTCAGAAACTGGATTCTGAGACTTTGAATCTCAAACAGGTGATACTAGAATGGAAGAAACCATTGAATTTCTGGTCATCCATTTGTTTATTTATCTCACAAAGGTGTACTGAGAGTGCTACGTAACAGGCATTTTTCTAGATGCCAGTGATACACTAGTAAGCAAGACAAAGTTACTGCTCTTATTGGTTTCATATTTCAGTTGGTGAAGGTAACCAAACAAATAAAGAAGATACTTTCAGGCAGGGATGAACACTAGAGAAAATCAAACAAGAATATATGACCAAGAGCAGGAGGTAATGGAAGAATGGGAGGGAAGGAGAAGAAGGAAACAGCTTAGGAACACTTGTAGGGTAGAGTGTTTTAGCCAATGGTTTAGTCCCATAGTCATAGAAATCTAAGTAGAAACATTAGAAGGCAAGCAAACCTCTCTTGATCTAATATCTTTCTGTGCTTCCCTTCATAGAAAAATTCATCAAAACACTTATCTTTCTATCCCTCTTTAATCTCCTCCAACCAAAGGTTCATAGTCTGCACTGAAATGACTTTCACTCAGGTCACAACCAACCTCCATCTTGTCACCTCCCTTAAACAGCTACATTCCCGACTTGGATTGTCCTTATTATGAGTCCTGCTTCCTAGTCTCTGCCATGGCCCTTTTTTCCTTCCCCTACAGCAGCCTCTGCTGATTTCATGAGCCCCACTATAACACCAATTAATTCCCTTTCTCTTTTCCTAGCCAGAATTGGCTTCTATTGCTTCCAACCAATAGAAGCCTAATCTCTGCATTTACTTTTTTTTTTTTTTACCCAGGAAACCCAATTGTTTAACTTGCAACACAATCCTTACTTATCCTTTTGCTTACATTCATTGCTTTCCTTACAATCCTTCATGTTTTTCTCATGTCCTTTGTGTCTCTATTAAAATTTCTTAGAAATTTTAGCTCTAAGAGTAAATATAATTTATCCAAACATTATATTTTCACCCGGTTATTAATTTTCTTATACTTCCCATAAAAAATTTAGTCTCAAGTCACTAAGAGCAAATAAGGTGACCGAAGGGAAACCTAAGAAGCCATGTCTTAGAAAAACCATCTTCATCAGGATTTTCTCCTGGCTCACAGCCAAATGGATGGCCATGTTTTGGTGCATATTGTACTCCGACAGGTACTTTCAGTTACAAGTACCAGAAGAGGGAACTCATAGGAGTTAACTCATAAGGGAATTTGTTGGATCATGTGACTAGAAAATCCAGAGGTTAGAAGTTCTTCAAGGTCAATTAGTGATGTTATCAGCGCACAGTAGTTTT